AGTGTAGATCGTTTAATCAAGTACACATAAACCAATAAAACAAAAAGCTGCCTGTAATAGCAGGTTCAAACTATCAGATAAACTTGCCTACACTACTGCTATTTCCGCAAGTAAAAGGCTATTTGAATTATTCAGAGAATATCAATGAAATAAAAACTTGACATGTAAATTTTCACTTTATTCTTGCTAATGAATATGGTCTACCACACCAAATACCGAGTGTGAATAACAGGGTTTGAGGTACCTGCACATTCATTTATTTATTTCTATGGTTTTATATCATGTAACGTCGAACTTTGCCTCTGGTGACCATACTTAATTGAACGAAACCATGAAAATAAAAAATTCTATCATAAAATTTGGAAGTATGATTTTTAAAAAGGCTAAACTGTGGTTGCCCAACAATAAAGAAATAGAAAGCTGACTATAAAGTTAATAGTCCACAAGATTTATCGTACCATTCGAGCAATTAAACTTGAACTATCTTATATAATATATCACTACATAAGCAAATGTTCACGTCAAAGCTTGAAAAATACTTTTAGAAAAATTAAACCTTGTAAATATAAATAAGCTCAAACAAGCTTGCAGTTAGTTTACCTTTATGGCCGGAACAATTTCGTCATGCCAAAAGGGTAAGGCTCTCTCAACCGTATCCTTAAGACATTCGGTGCGTGGGACTATACTTTGATCAAGCATCTAAAAAAAGGTTAATTCAATAACTTTGCTTAAAAAAAGTATGAGCAACGATATATAATTAATGTTAGATAATAATGAGAAGCTAAAAGTTGATCAAGCAGTAGTTGCATATTAGGACAAATTTCTATTTATCAATAAAAATAAGCACTAAGTTTGGTACTATCGCAATCTATCTAAGTAAGGTAAAAGTCTATAAACTATTATTGGGGGGAAATGTGATAAGCCAGTCGAAGGACGAAGTACCGAATATTTTGATTCATTTCCAGGCCAACGAGGATCAGAGGTTTCCAAGCATGGAGGAGGGATATCGTATGCACGCCGCCATATTTTTACTTGCTCCTCACCGTGTTTAGCTGCGGTTTCCGCCTTGTCTAAGCCTTGAAGTCCTCCATACATTCGTTCGTTAAGTCTCCAACTTCTAAATACAAAATGACGAAATAAGTATAAAGAAGTGGAAGAATTTGGAACAGTCAGGTTTGAAGTATTTTACTTTAAAACGGGTATCCAGTGAAGATCTAACTCATCCAGCACAAGGTTGAGAGTCAAGATGGCGCGTTTGAGAACACTGGTAAAGGCGCAATCAAAAAGATAGTTATTTTGTTTTAGCAACTGTCCAGCTTGTTTAGCTTCATTGACGCCCTGTAAAGAGAGATCAGCATCGTGCCAGCCGCAAAACCGATTTTCTTGGTTATAAACACTCTCGCCGTGACGAATCAAGACAATCTTAAAAGGAGCCATAAAATTTTCCTTATCTAAAACAGCGGTTGAAAAAATAATGATAAAAAACAACAAACAAAAATGAATATAACAAAATCTATCAACGCACACATGGCTGAGACAATCGATTATGTATTTGAAAGGGCGTCACGTACCGAATCGATGGAGAAAGTGTACCAACCACCTGAGCAGAAGTTACTGAATTAGCTTACATAAATAATAGTCAGTATATAAGCCCAAATTTTACCTAGCAAAATATTTAATTTTAAATAATTATTTTAAATATATTTATTTCAAAAACTTGATATGAATAAAAAAAGAGATTTGTTTTTATTTAAGTTATTCTGAAAGTATATAATTATAACATTGTAAGGGGGACTTTCATCTTGTATAAAATAAATTGAGAATAGATTCGTTAGTCGATCTCACCAAATAAGGACGGATAAAGCTCGTTATACTGCAGCCGTTTGGTTTTTATACGATATTCATGTTGACGCAGTCCACCTGACTTCTTCCCTCATTTCGGATGAAAACATGCTAAACTTTCAACCATCATATGATGAAGATCATTAAAGACAGAAATCATTCTTATAAAAGTCTTACTTTATCACTATGGCAAGAACAATATTTGGCTCTATCCTACTTTTTATATAGACTCAATTGAGCCAAAAGAAAATTAAACCCTAGATAGATCGATATAGATTGGCTTGATTAATTATCTTTCATATTAGTCCTGTTACTTTTGCTCAAGTTTATGCGTATGTATATGTGCCAATTTTAGCGTATATATGTATTACGATCCCTAAATCATTTTTGTCAGATTTTCATCTCAGGTTCTGATCCCCAAGGCCTAATGACCCAAGAGAAAGCCTTGACCAAAAATTGCGTAAGTACGTAAACAAGTATCGTTGAGATAATGAGATATGAGCTTGTAAGCATAAAAATCAAGTTACGAAACCCCTTTGCTAACCTTTCTGTCTAAAGTCATTAACGTTTAATTCTCTAAGGAAAGGCAAGACTGAGGCTGCGTAAACTGACATGTCAGGTTTGGTAGGGCGAATGCGAGTAAAATTAGAACCATCACCGAGCAGAAAAATTGAGTTGCCTTCTTTTTAACGGCA